AGGGGCTCACGCCAAGCACTGGGTTTGACCCAGGGGTGGAAAGAGGCAGCCTGGGTCAGGGATGCTGCTGCCCGGTCGGGGCAGGACCTTGCAGTCCTGCTTGGACATCCGTGCGTCCACGCAAGTGCAAGGCACGCTAAAAGATGCAGGCTGCTCTCCTGCACCCGCCGTCCTCGGCGGCTTTCATCCCGGAGGAAGAGGGTTGGGAAAAGAGGTGATCCCTGCGGAACGAGGGCAAAGCTGGTGGCAAGCAGGATGGGGTTTGTTTCATGTTAGCTTGAATGTCTGACGCATCCCAGTGGCCTCGCCTGGGCTGGCAGGGGAAGGGTGAGTATGTGGGATGGGCTTGGGGGGGGGGAAAGGTGGTTCCTCGCCCCGGTTTGGGGTCATTTGGGGAACAGGGATGCGTCTGGGTGGGTTATTCTGGGAAGAGATGGGTACGGCTGGGAAACAGGGCCACATCCCTGCTCCGCACGGCCAGGGCATGGAGAAATGTCTCCCCATCACCTCCAAGACGAGGGGTTTTCCCCAACCCAGAGGGGCTGCAACCCCTCCGTGCCGGCAGGAAGAGGCGGCCGCTGACTCAGTCCCCCGGGGAAATTAGCAGTTGGGCAGGTTTACGCACAAGGATGATTTGGCCCCAGATCATCCGGGTTGCAAGACACGCTGCTCCCTCCGACACTAATTAGCAGGTTTGGGCAGAGCAAGGAAGAAGGCTGCACCTCCCAAGGAGGTCAGGGGAAGGCAGCCCCCAGGAAAGCCCTGCCGCTCCCGGGGTGAGCTTTGTTTGTCAATAAAGAGCCTGGGTTTCCAGGGCAGCCCCTTCCGTACCTTTCATCATCCCCGGCAAAGAATTTGATAATGAGTTTGGGGCCAGATGCTGAGTCACCTCGTCCCATGGCTGAGCACCGACTGGCAGAACCAGTTGTCCCAAATATGCCCAGGCGTCGGGTGGGAATAAGGCAGGAGAAAGGTGCTGCCCGCCCCTCTCCTCCACCCTCAGCTTGCATCACCCCAAATAACAACAATAATATATTTAACCCTAAAAAAAAAATATGAAGGCTGCTGCGTCAGATTCTCCACACTTTTCCCCAAATAAAAATGTCACTTTCTGGCTAAAAACCAACATAGGTTTTTCAGTTTTTAGTTTTTTAGTTGTCTCAGCCCCTGAAAGAGGATGTGCCGTGTTCTCAGTAAATCTAAAAGAGGCAACGGTGGTGGCAAGCCCTTCCCAGCCAACGCAAGGGCTGAGCCGCAGCTCCGTAGCCGACTTTGGGGTTTGCATTTTGATTGTGTTTTATTATTTTTTTAAAAAAGAAATACTAAAGGAGTCGGGAGCTCACCAGCATTTCCAGTAAACCCCATTCGATTTTCAGGCAATTCATCCCACAAGTATGTGTGGGATGCTGGGAACTCCTCGGTCTCGCTCGGACGCAGGAGCCCAGATGGGCTTCGTCTGGAATAATTCAGCTCCCGGTGGCTGGAGCTCTTTGCTCTAAATGCTAATAGAGTGAGTAATCAGAGACCTCCATCCAGTAAATTATTTATCTTATCTCTGGAACTCGGGAAAGCATCTCAGCCAGCGACTTCTGCGGAAAAAAGAAAAAAGGGGGGGGGGGGTTAAAAAAAAGGATTGTTAGTCAAGAGTCCCCAGCTGGAATCGCCACTTTTACTAGAAAAGGGAAAAGTTCAGACACCGGCTTGCCCGCGATGAAGTAACGGCAGTGCGGGATGAGCTGGCGGGATGGGGTCCGGGGGATGCCCAGCACCACCGGGAAGCTGTGAGGTTGCAGGAAAAGATGAGAAAGTGAAGCAGGAGCTAAAAAAAAAAATTGG